GGGGGTAGAGGGAGGAGGCCGTCAGCGGCCCTGGGGAGCAGAGCCCGCTGCTTCCTGAGGAAGCTTTGCTCAGATGCTGGCTGCCTGGGCCCCTCAGTGCGGTTTTCCTCCCGGCACCAAGCCCCAGAATAGTGTAGCGGACGCTGGCTGAGGTCAGCACTCCCGGGAGCACAGAAGCCAAAGGTTTTGCAGTAAGTACATGGTTGGTTATTATTTAAGACGGGGATGGGAAATCTTAGAACAGCTCTGTCTGGGGAAAGACATTCTTCTGTTTTAGGTATAATGTTGAACGTACATAGTGAATCTTGATATGGCTAAGGCATTATTAAAACATTTATTTGTGGTTTGCGGACCCGATAAGCTAATACTACATGCATACTTTCGGGGGCTAAAAATGGATTGGAAACTCATCTTCTACATCTTGAAAAAGTCGTCTTGTCTCACTGCCTGTTTTGTTCATCTTGCAAAGAAAGCAAGGACAGTGCATGCCGGCCCCTGGTGAGATGCCCACGGCCCTTTGAGAGGCGGCCTCTCTGCGGCACTGAGCATGGGCGCGGGGGTCTGTGCACAGCCGAGGCGATGGGCGGCCTCTGCGCATCCTCTCCATCACGCTGCAGCCTTACAGCCTGCGGAGAGCTGCCTGCCTGGCTGGCTCTTAAGTCCCAGAGGTTCTGGAGCCTTCTCCCCTGAAGATTAGCACTTGGGAGTGTGCCCCGCCGTCCTGCAGAGGGCTGATAGGGTCCCGTGCTCCATATCTGGGCCAGGCACCCTCTTATGAGGCGGAGCCGGCAGAATCTCAAGGATGTGGCTGAGATCGAGGCTTTTCTCGCAGCGACGGCCTCTTATATGGGCCCAGGGTAGCCAGTGCAGTATTTCATCCCACCCCGTCTCCCCAGCGAGGGGTTCAAACTGCTTTCCTTACAGTGTCTTCACCACTCTATTTTCTAGAAATCAAGTTTGGGATTTTTATTTCCTTTTCACACTGAGCTAACTTCTTACTAGAATGAAATATTTAGCTCAGCCATACAGAAGTTTCCTGAAGATCGTGATTCGCCTCCTGAACCAGAGGCTGAGGCGGGCGCTCTGCTGGAGCCTCTCTCTGCTGTGGCTCACGGTGCACATTCCCCCGCGGCTCCTCTCGCAGTCCCGTTTCACTTCCCCCATCCCCGCCTTTGCCAAGCGAGCTTACGGGTAAGTGTGGTCTGTTCTCAGCAGGAAGAACCCACAAAAGTAGAGGAAGTCAAAAGTAACAATACTGAACTTGCAGTTGAAACAAAAACACTTCATGTGAAATATTTTTCCCTTATTTCAAAAACACCTTGGATTTTTTTAATGGAAAAGTCGCATTCTTGAGTGCTTACTGAGTGGTGGGACAGCATCTGATTCTCACAGTGGCCCCATGAGGTGGTTACAGTTTGGTCTTCACAGGTGAGCAGACTGCGGCCTGGAAGGTGGTATAACAGCCAAGGTCACCTGATGGGTGGGGGAGTGGTGCAGCTGGAATTGGAACTTGGGTCTTTTAAAATCCAGAGTAAGTTTAGAAATGAGAAAAAACAGTGACTCAATTCCATGCCCTAAAACAGCTTAAAATTTCTATATTTCTTTCTACCTGACCAGCTAGATATTAGAGCATAAGTTTTTCTGTGCTACTGGTTTCACAATTATTTTGAAGAGTGTGTAATGGTCTAGTAAGTGATTGTTCTGTAAGTTACTTAACTATTCCCTCTTCTTGAAAATTGGGTTGCTTTTCTTTTTTTGTTTGCTTGGTTTTGCTATTATGAATAATACTTCAGTAACTATCTTATTCATATAATTTTTTCATGTGTTTGGATTATATATGTAGAATAGATTCTCAGATATGGGGTTATTGGGTACAGGGGGCATGCATATTTGAATGGTCCTTGGTATATGCTGCTAAATTGCCTTCTATCAACACTCTGTGTGAGAGTACCAGCTTAATTTTACCCATTCCACCAATGACAGTATCATTAAAAAATAAATAAATGAAACAGGCAAAACAGAAGCCCTTTTTTAAATTTTGCATTTCTTTTAATATAGTTAGTTACACTGAACATTTTTTCACACATTTATTTACAAGTTGTGCATTCTCCTTTACTCATTTGTCTGTAAGGATCTTAATGCCTTTTTATTTCTTGCTAATTTATACTTTGTACACTCACAGGAGTGAGGTAGGCCCGGGTGTGTGGTAGCCAGGAGGCAGGACCCCCCCCCCCCACCCCTGAGACAGCCCCGGAGGCACCTGGGGCTGCAGTGATGGGCCTGAAGGAGGAGCCTAAGGAATGGCCCCTGGGAGTCAGCAGAGGAGCTGGGGAAGGACTGATGCCATAGATACAGGAGGTGAAGGATGAGATCTGGGCTGTGAATAGAAGTCTTTGCCGAGCCTGGGGGTTGAGAACCTCTCTGGCTCCCACTCTTTACCAGGACCTGACTGGTCTCATGGATGAGTCTGAGCATCAGAGAGGAAGGGCCTCCAGAGTCCTGGCGTCACCTGTGCTGCAGGCAGGGGCTCTAGCGCTGAGAAATGCTCCAGCAGTTTTTGTGAATGGGCATGAGCTCTGGCAATGTGGGGCAGTTTTTGTGAATGGGCATGAGCTCTGGCAATGTGGGCATCTCCTTGGCCATCACCAGGGAGGGCTGGGCCCACCTGACAGGCTCAGGGTAGGGAGGGTTGGTCTGCAAGGGCCTTCCTTGTGCTCTGCCCCAGCCTGGTATCAGGAGGCTGCTGTGCCTTCATCCCTGCAGCCACGGGGCCTTTGCATCCCTCACACCAGCTTTCCCGCCTCCTGCCACAGTATCTCTTCCCCTTGCCTTGCTGTTCTCTCCACTGGTCAGTGTTCTCTTCCTTTCCACCTGGCTGATGCCCGCAATCCCGGGAGTCTCTTCTTCACGGAACCTGCTCAGGCTTTCCTCCATGACTTGATCACACTTCCCTTAGGGCAGCTCTAATGGCACCATGTGACCCCCCTCAGGCATTTTTCCCCTTGAAATCTCGTATTTTCAGGACTGTGTTCTGCATCAACCCCAGGCGAGCAGGGGTCTTATTTACTCATCCCTGTATGAGAGAACATGCACAGCAGGGGCTCCGCGGTGAACACACGCATGGAGTGTCCTCAGCTGCTTCCTTGTATGAACAGCGAATCCCTGCCATTCCTTTGGGCTGACTGTCCTATTCCCAGGGCAGCGAGGGGCAGGAGAGGCTGGAGCTGTGGGACGTGCGAGCAGGTGTACATGTGAACCATGACAGGGGCCTGTATTGATTGGATAGGGGGCGGGAGTGACAGGATCTGGGCTGTTTTGAAAGGAGCACTGCGCGTCGGGTGAGCCAGAGGTGGCAACAGATCCTGGTGGACGAGCAGCGTCGCCTGAACATAGAGCCGAAGACACGCGGCCCTTCTGGTGGCCAGGAACCCATTATCTGTTGCTCTGGTCAATGCTCTCACTTTTCACAGAAGAGCCACAGTGCATGGTGCTGAGTTCCTCACATTAAAGTACACACAGAACTTTAAAATTAACAAAGTCACGCTGCTCCATGGCTGTGTGCACCAGGGTAGCCGTGCTGTGCCCATGACCGCCAGCCCTTCCCCGGGGGACCTGCCCAAGGACGCCTGGTCCTGCAGCCTCTGCTTCCTCGGTCACAGAAAATACTGAGTTGCTACCAGTCACACGAGGATGAGGCACTCTGACCTGCAGAGTAGAGAATAAACTCCCACCTGGCTTTCGGGCCCACCGCCTGCTGCCAGCCCTTATTCCAGTGCTGCTTGTACTGCTTGCCTCGGCGCTCACCCACGCTGCCACACCAACCACTCCGCACAGCCCCTGTAGTCAACTGCCTCAGCCCACTGCCCTCTGGGATGCCCCTTCTGCCAGTGCCCGCCTGTCACTCCTCCCTCCTTCTGAGCTGTATGTGTCTGCTGGGGCTGCCGTAACAGAGAACCACAGGCCGAGTGGCTTAGACGATGGAAACTTATTTTCTCAGTCTGGAGGCTGAAAGTCCAAGACCCTGGTGTTGGCAGAGCTGGTTCCTTCTGCGGCCCCTCTCCTTGGCGTGTCTTCTCCCTGTGTCCCCATGTGGTCTCTTCTCTGTCTGTGTCTGTGACCCAGTGTCCTGTTCTCATGACACCAGTCATTGGATTAGGCCCACACCGATGCCCTCATTTTATCTTCCCTCCTTAAGGGCCCTGTCTTCCAATACAGCCACATTCTGAGGAGCTGGGGTTCGGGCTTCAACGTATGGACTGGGAGGGCACAGTTCAGCCCCTAACAAGGTGCCAGCTCCAATACCCCGTTATCCTCAAGCATCGCCTGTTCACATGCATCAGAGCCCTTCAGTGGACCAACTCTGTCCTTTGATATTTATCCATTCATTTGTCTGAAATACCCAGAGACACTCACTGAGCACCTTCTGTGTGTCAGGGATCCACTCGATGCCCAACCTGCAGAGGCAAAAAATATGGTGCCCTACTCGGATGCTCAGGTGAGAGACAGACAGACCAGTTATAGCAACTGCAACACAGCGTCACGGGCCAGCGCCCAGGGGAGGGCACCAATCCAGAACCGGATCGGAGCGAGCAGAAAGCTCCTGGGTCAGGATGGCGGCCAGCAGTCAGTGA